CTGAGGGGAGCAGCGGGCGGGTCAGGAGAGTTCTGCCACACCATGTGGATCTCCTCCGGGGCAGGCAGGCGGGGATGGAACTCATGCGGAAGTGGCTTAAGCTTCTTTGTGCTGTGCTTTAACCCGCTGCGCCACCAGGGAGGGCCGTGAAATTCTTTTTTATAAAAGATTATGTATGCAAGAACTGGGGTACAGACTAGAGGTTTTGAGGGGGGGGTGAGAGGATTCACCAGAGACAGAGCGGGGAGTGGAATAGGCACAGCTAGTGAAATAAACTGCAGAGGGGAGGTGCAGGCAGGTCAGGAGAGGTCTGCCACACCATGTGGGTGGCCAAGGATTGAACTCATGCTGCAGTGGCTGTGGAGAGTTTCATAGTGCCATGCTTTAACCTGCTGCACCACAAAGGAGGTCCCTCTATGTGAAATTCTTAAAAATTTAAAAAAGAGTTATTTATTTATGCATACAAACCTAGGGCACAGGACAGAAGTGCAGGGACAGTGAGAGGATTTACCAGAGACAGAGTGGGGAGCATAATAGGCAGATGGAAGAAGTACATTGCTGAGAGTAACAGTGGGCAAGACAAGAGAGGTCTGCTGCGCCATATAAGTCACTTCTGGGGCAGTGTATTGAACTTGTACTGAAGTGGCGAACTTGCAGTGCTGCATCCTAACTAGTTGTGCCACCAGGGAGAGCCCTTAAAGAATTTTTTTTAAAAAGATTTATTTATTCGTACAGAATTGGGGTACAGGCTAGAGATGCAGAGGGTGAGAGGCTTCACCAGAGACAAAGCGGGGAGCAGAACAGGCAGTTCGACGAGTACACTGCTGAGGGGAGCAGCGGGCGGGTCAGGAGAGGTCTGCCTTGTCATGTGGTCGCCTCCGGGGCAGGCGGGGATTGAACTCATGCAGAAGTGGCTTTAGCTTCTTAGTGCAGTGCTTAAGCCGCAGCGCCACCAGGGGAGGGCCAAAGAATTTTTTTTTTAGATTTTTTTTAAGATTTATTTATTTATGCATACAGAACTGGGGTACAGGCCAGAGTCCAGGGGCAGTGAGCAGATTCACCAGAGACAGAGTGAGAAGCAGAACAGGCAGATCAACAAAGTACACTGCTGAGGGGCGCAGCAGGTGGGTCAGGAGAGGTCTGCTCACCATGTGGGCCACCTCTAAGGCTAGGGATCGAATTTGCATTGAGGCTGTGGCCAGCTTGCAGTGTTGCATCCTAACCCATTGTGCAACCAGGGAGAGGCCAACGTGTTTTGTTTTTTTTTTTAAATGAGCTCAAAGGCAAGTTATTAATAATAAATAGAAGAATTATGTTTTAAAATCCTCACAGGTTTGACACATTAAAAAGGGAATTTGATATGTTGTCTAAGTTCATAGGGCTGAACTTGAACTACTGGGAATAAACTGTAGGGAGAGGCATAGCAGCTCACAGCCAGGGAAGACAATTAGAACCACCTCCAGTGAAGCTGTCTTGTCATGGGAGGAAACACTCCCCACTGCTTTCCAGGGGAAGCTGGGTGATCACCCATTGAGGAATTTCCACATTGACTGGAACTGAAGCTAGAAGCTCCTGAAGCCCTTTTGATACAGCTTCTATCATGTGGAGAATGTCATCTTCATCACTTAGACAGTTCCTTAACATCAGGTAAGTAAGGGCCATGTGAACACTCAGCCCCTTGACACACTTTAAATACACTACATGTACAAGAACAATTACTTGGACCACAAGACTTTAAATTCTTCTGGCAGAGAAGAAACAGAACATATGTTCTGGTCATGAACTTATCCAGGAACCAGATATGGAAATGGCTGTATCTTTAAAAAGTGTCTGCCAAGCCCCTTTGCTATCTGGAGCTTGTGTACCTACCAGCTCAGAGGAGATGCTCTGTTTGGTCATAGCGCCCACCTCAGGAATGCGAGCCTTCACCTGGGCTTTGATGTAGCACTTCTCTCCTCCAGCAAAACGGATTCCTGTGATGCCCTAGGAAACAAAAACTCATCCATCCATCTGTCCATTCACTTATTCAAGGACTGTTAACACTGTGAGCCAGGCACCTCTCCATGAACAAAAAAGATGGAATCTCTGCCCTCGTGGAGCTTACCTTTTAGCCTCATTTCCCAATAAACAAAAATATAAAGCCAGGTGGTGAACACTGCTATGAGAAAAATGAAAGTGTGAGATAGGAGTGAGGGGTCACACTACAGGCAGCATGGTCAAGGGAGCCCCATGACAGGGGTGGCATTTAAGCGAAGTATGGTGTTTGCTCCATCTGCACCTACCAACTCAGATGAAATGAAGTATTTTCTACCAGCTTTCTTTGAGTACTCCAGATCAAGCTTGATTTTTTTGCTCTGACTTCTGGTAAGCCCTCTTGTCTCAGCCCCCATTGGATACAGAGTTCACACTGCTGGGATGAGAGCCCTCTGCGACTGTCATCTCCTTACTCAATTATAAACTTGAGATCAGTGTCTAGCTCTGTTTTTCCATCTTTTTGGTGATCCCACAAAAGTTCTCAGGAGATTCAGCTAACAAATTCCACAAATTCTGATTTCCCCTAATTTTCCGAGTCCAGAATAAACAGTAAGTGTATCTAGCTACACTCTGCTCCTAGATGGTACCCAAGGGCTTGTTTTGTTTTTGCCCCCACCCCCTCCCACCCCGTGAGATATGAACAGTGCCTCTTCCTCTGCCAAGGGACCAGTCTCCAGGGGAAGCGAGGCCACAGGCTCAGTTCTTGGCTGACAACTCAGCACAGCTCTGCACAAGCAGCACACTAGGGACACTGTGCTCTGTCCCCAGAGCGGTTACTTTTCACCCTGCTGATTAATTTCAAAATGAGTGAGTGGCCAAAATGGTTTGAAAGTCCTACAGATTTCATGCTGTAATATTGTAGACACCGACACAACCCCAAAACTTGTCAAACTTCTGTTAGGTTCAGGCAAATGTCGGGAAGATATGGACCATGTTCCAGTGTCAATGCCCCAGGAAGGGAGAAGGAAAGCATTTAGGAGCTCGGGGGTCCTGGCTCAGGATTGTCCCTCAAGAGAGAAATGAAGGGAAAAGCAAGCCATGCTTATAGACATTCATGCAATGGTTTGTAACCCAATCAAAAGTAATCTCAGAGCCGGGAGCCCCACAAAAACTGGTGGATGAGATGTCCCTCAAGAGAGAAATGAAGGGAAAAGCAAGCCATGCTTATAGACATTCATGCAATGGTTTGTAACCCAATCAAAAGTAATCTCAGAGCCGGGAGCCCCACAAAAACTGGTGGATGAGAGAACTGAGAGGAGGAAGCTCATTCCTCCTGAAACTCCTCGTTATTTGTCTTGCTATGTGACTCGCTTCACTTTTTCCTCCCAGCATCCCTTCTCAACCAGAAGCACGTGGTGGCCTTGCCCCTGTATAGGATTAATGAAGATTGCTTAGACTTTGGGTCACTGGCCTCTGTGGCTCTCTCCCGAGACCTTCAATGCTAGAGGTGCTTGGGAGCGTGGGCTAGGAGCACGCTTGCCTGATGGTGGGCACCTGGGGTATGGTGTGGGCATGCGCAAGCGGGCACACCTGTGCAGAGAGACCGAGCCTATAAGGGCGGAGGCATCAGCGTACCAAGTGCGGGGCTGGGGGTGGAGGGGGGTTGGGGGACAGTGTGGAGCAGGGTAGTGGAGAGCGTCGGAGAACAGGCACGAGGAAACCACAGGCAGAGGTTGGGGGGGAGGGGGGCAAGTTGCTGTCTGCCTGCTGGCTTGTTTCTGTTCACCTGTGGGGATGGTGCCAAGGGTTCCAAAATGAACCTACGAAGTCCGGGATAGTCACAGAACACCCTACTTTATAGAGAGGGAACTCCAGGATGACCACAGAGGTCGTGACTTGCTGTAGCAGAATCACCTGGGGAGACTGTAAAACCACAGATGCCTGGGTGTCTTCCAGGAGATTGCTGTTGAATTGGCCTGGGTGGTGTTCAATCACTGATAAGCTTAGAGCATCCCTGGATGTTCCTCATATACAACCCGGCTGAGAAACACAATGAAGGGGAAGGGATTTTGTTCAAGGTAACAGTTTTTGGTGACTGAAATTGCCTGCTACAGACTGGAGTTTGGGTTGGGGAGGCTTTGGGAGGTGATGAGGTCATAGGTGGTGCCCTCATGAATCAAGTAACCTTATGAAAAGAGACTTCAGAGACTTCTCTTGCCCCTTCTGCTATGTGAGGAAACCATGCACAGGTGGCTGCACACCCAGACAAGATACTGACTACCAAGACCTTTAATCTTGTCCTTCCTGGCTTCAAGAGCCGTCTGAGAAGTAAATTTATGTTGTTTATAAGTCACCTCGCTTGGTGATTTGTCAGAGCAGCTTGAGTGGACTAAAACAGCCTTTCAGCCCAACTTTTTGTGCTGGTGCTTCACAAATTTGCCTTTACATCAGAGTCATCGGGGGGACTTGCTAACTAAACAATACTGGGCCTGGGTCCGGAGTTTCTGATTTAGTAGATCTAAAGTGGAGTGTAAACTTTGTGGTTCTGATAGGCTGTTAAGTGCTTCTGTTGTGTCCTTGGGAACACACTTTGAGAAGCACTGCTCTTTACTGTGTTATCTTCTGAAGGTCTGCTTTTATTTTGCATATAAATCTAGGACTCCTAGTTTGGGAAAAAAAAGAAGGCAGGGAGGGAAGATTCTTTCCTGTGATGAGATGTGTTCTCTTGACTTCAAACCCTCATATTGTCTGAACATAGATGAAGGAGAGGAAATGCCAGTTATCATCACCATCTCCCTGAAGGACAGAGTTGATTCTATTGAAGGATTCACAGCCCTGAGAGTGCATCTTGTATTTAGTTAGTTCTGACAGTCTACATGCTGCAGAGAGAACTGACCCCACAGGGATGGGTCCAGAGGGAGGGAATTCACACATATTAACCACCATGTGTACCTACAAATCCACATCGAGCAGTGAGATATATTAAGAGATTAAACAGAGAAAATGAAAGCAAAAGAAAGCCAAGAAACCCTCCTGGTTTTGCAAACAAACAAGGCCTCAGAAGCTGGTGGTAATGAAAAAAATTGTTAACAAAAGTAATGAGTGAAGATCCAATGATTTGAGATTTTTCTGTCTGACTATTAATCTCATTTCAGCCACACATTTTTTTCTCTCTAGGAGGTATCATCTATTTCGGCTTAAACCTGAAGTCCCTGATGGGGACAGGGGTCCCTGAAGGAACACTTTAGAAATCTTTAGAAGTGTCTTTTGTTGTCACAAAGATCAGAGAACTTCCTGGCCTTTAGTGCAAAAGCTGACGCCCTGGGGCCCTGCCTGAAAAAAACCTATTGTAAGTATCTGATCCTATAACCTAAGATAGTTTTACATGTAAACAAAGTGATTTTTGACATAGTCTTAATATACAGGGGATTTTCTAGGAATGCAATTGCTGTGAGAATGGAGAGGAAATGGTACTTTTTTTTTACTCTAAGAACTGGTATTTGATTTGCCAAAACCTGCTGTGTCGAAGGTCATTGACAGTGGCTCAACTACTGGGGTAAACATACGATTTTATGACTTCAAGTACATCAGGTAGAGCCTTTACATACTGAAGCCCAAATTTTATTATAGGTTACTTTTATTTTTCCTTTATGTGATGGTTGGGGGACATATTGATTATTGAAATCAATCACCTACCTACTTAAGAGGGTATGCTAACACCTTTTTCATTTATATACTCACTCGTATTTACTCATCAGTTTATTCTACCTATTTTCTAACCAGGATATTAGTTATATAAATGGGTTATTAGGTCTGAGAGAGTTGACTCATGAGCTATAACTTTCTAGAGTTATAATGTACCATGAACTAATACAGAAACGATGTGTTCTCATAGTATTGACAAAGACTATCCTTGACCTATACTAATTGGTCTCCTCTGAGTCCTCCTTTTGACCGCAACTGATCATGGAGTCTGTCTTGGTCAGTTTCTTCCAGTTTTAGCAAGAATCTTGTGGTGTTGTTGGGGGAACAGTGTGTCCTGAATGAAATCCACCAGCGGATACTTTATGGATTCCATCTCCACGCCAAAGAGATCCCAGGAACTGAGGATTACAACTCCATCAGGCAGTGAATCTCCTTGAAGGGGCGACTGCTGGGAGCTTGGGTGTAGTTAAGCAGCTGCACTTGGTAAAAAACTGAACACGTGGGCCTGGAAGGGGCTGGTTTTTGACCTACTTTCATTGTGCCCCTGGTGCCCCAGCTCAGGCAGTATCATTGGCCAATTAATCTCTCTTTGTGTCTCTGCTTCCCCATTTTTGAGTTCCCTTGTACATGAGTCTTTTTCATTTCTCTGTGTGCCTGCCCTTGAGTCTTGTTCTGAGTTTTTTTTTTAAGATTTATTTATTTATGCATACAGAACTGGGGTACAGTCTTTGTTCTGAGTTTTTTTTAAGACTTATTTATTTATGCATACAGAACTGGGGTACAGGCCAGAGGTGCAAGGACAATGAGAGACTTCACCAGAGACAGAATGGGGAGCAGAACAGGCAGATTGACATAGTACACTGCTGAGGGGAGCAACTGGCGAGTCAGGAGAGGTCTGCTGCACCATGTGGGTCACCTCCAGGGCAGGTGGAGATTGAACTCATGCTGAAGTGGCTTTAGCTTATTAGTTCTGTGCTTTAACCCGCTGCGCCACCAGGGAGGGCTCTGTTCTGAGCTTTTTTTTTTTTTTTTTTTAAAGATCTATTTATTTATTCATACAGAACTGGGGTACAGGCCAGAGACGCGGAGGGTGACAGGCTTCACCAGAGACAGAGTGGGGAGCAGAACAGGCAGATTGACGAAGTGCACTGCTGAGGGGAGCAGCGGGCGGGTCAGGAGAGGTCTGTCACGCCATGTGGTCACCTCCTGGGTGGGCAGGGATCAAACTCATGCAGAAGTGGCTTAAGCTTCTTAGTGCTGTGCTTTAACCCGCTGCCACCAGGGAGGGCCCCCTGTTCTGAGCTTTTCAAAAAGTTGTGCTGGTGAAGACTCACACCCCGGCCATCCCATTTCCCTGGCGGGGACCTAACTCATGTTGCAGCGGCTGCAGATAGCTTCATAGTGAGGTGCTCTAACCTGTCACGCCACCAGGGAAGCCGAAGGTCTGCTTTATCTTTAATAAGTGCCAGGACTCGATTTTTCTTGACCAGTATAGAGCCTGGAGTCCTTTGTTTGGTGCCGCTTCTTTAGGATGTTCTTTTTCCACTGAATGCTACTAAATCCTTGGTGTGGTCCAGAGGTAACAGAGGAGACTTCATTAGCTACAAGGCAGACCTTTTCCAAATCTGACCCCACCTCAGTTCCCAACTCCTTCCACACCCACTCCCACCCCTTTCTGCCAAACCGGGCTACTTAGAGCTCAGAACAGGCCTGTGCATTTCTATTCAGCACTCCTCCTGTGTTGGAAGCCCTGCCGCATTTTCTTTGCTCCTTGAAATACTAATTGTTCTTTAAGAACTGGTTCAACTATAATCACCTCTGTAAAACCTGCTCCTAACACTTATCAGCAGCCATTGCCTCCTCTCTGTACTTCACAGCTCTGTTGACAGCTCCGTTACAACACATTTCCCAGGCTGACCTGAGGACACTTCTGAGTGCCTCCTGGACTGCCAGGTTAGGTCCTTGAGGGAGGGGACAAGTGCCAGTCACCTTCCATCCTCCATCTTAGCCCCATCCCTTGTTCACAGGAGGGCACAATAAATACTTCTGGTATTTCACTAGTGGTTGGAAACACAGGAGCAAGTAGTAGAATAGGTACCATCGTGGCTGATTCATGTGTTTTTAAAAGTTCAGGCTTGTTTAAACCCTTAACAGGTTCTATCCATCAAAAAAATGTTCTACTACCAGTTCTGACTTAGAGAAATGTGGAAGCTATCAAAGAGAATTGATCAGTTTATAAAATATTTGTGGCCCTGTTGGCCTGGGAGAACAAAATACAATCAATACTGGTATTAGAACCAAAGGATTATAAAATAAAAATACAGGTGTGGGATTAAAATATTTTAAAACTATACTTCTGATACATGCATATCTGGAGAGATGGATCTCTTGTGCATCAGTGTATCTACCTTTGCAAATCTTGGCATTGTGGTACATCATAGGCAATTTTCTCCTAGATTGAATTGATGTGTGTGTGGGAGCCACATTTCATATTTTATATTGAATAGTACACGGGGGAAAAAAAGGCTTTTACCTTGTCCTGGGTCTTGCAGTAAAAGTCTTTAATAGGTCCAGAGAAATCATCCTTGTGCATCGACCAGGACCATTTGCAAAGGCAGGATTAAGCAAAGTGCAGTTGGCCACATACAGGCTGCAGAGCCTGTTTTGAGGCAAAATCCACTCTGAACTAGGCTGCCGGCAAGGCCTTGTCATCACCAAATGATGCCACTAGGGCTCTAATGTTAGCATCTATTTGGTATTCAAAAGGCCCTGTAAATTGTACTTTGGTATCAACAAGGGGAGTTGTTTCAGTCAAATGAAAACCATCCCAGTTTTTCTCATCAATCAGAGGAAGGTGGTCGATGAGATATTTGTAGGCCAATAAGCTATCAGAAGGGAATTACTTTCAAGAGGCCTTTTTCACTGCAAAGTCTCACCTACTCCATCTATAGATTTAACAGAAGAACACAAACAGTGATGCTTCTTCCTCATCTTAGAACATGAAAGAGAATAAGATTTTTTTTTTTTTTGAGAATAAGATATTTTATGTTGGCCAACAGAAAAATAGGCCAGGAGTGACATTTTGGTTTGCAGATATACACTGAAGCATCGATGCATAGCTTAATGTCTAAGATTGCCTGTAAATTGAATTTTTGAAAACAAACATGTTTGGCCTTTTCAAGGGAGACTTGAATGTTTTATTTGTAATAGGCCATGGTCAGAAAACATGATATAATAGGAGAGTTTCTTCTGACTAATTTTCTGTTTTAAATGTGAAACCTGAAAAACTGAGAAACGTATATAAACAAACCCCACCTGTTGTTGATCAGATTATTAGGTCATTAAGATTTCCCTCTACTCTATATTCAAATTTCCGGCTTTCTCATTGACTTGTAGAATATAAATAACCAAAGAGAACTGGTGAAATAACAAGACTGATTCTCAACTCTATGAACAATATGAGGGAATGAGGCGGGCAGGAAATGGACAGTCTGATACTGGAGCTGTTGTGGGGAGTGAGGTACATACGCATAAGGACACCAAGCCCATAAAACAGAAAAAATAAAAAAGGAATCTTTCCTACCCCCCAACTTTCAGAACTTGCTGGAGCATTTTATTCACTGTTAGAGAAAGCTGCTTGGAAAGAAATGGCTCTTTCAAGTCTTTCTGCCAAGGCTTTATATAGTTCCAAGAACTGTTCTTTTCAAGGTGTTTTTTATTTTCTTTTGGAAATATAAAGGACAAAGTGTGGTCCTTTCTTAGAAAGGATATGTTGCATGATATATATGGATTGGCAGCACTGTGACTGCCAGAAAGAACAGTTACCATTTGGAGGACCATGTGAGAGGCTGTTTATCCCTGAATTAGAAAAGTCTCCTAGGCCTGTCTGGTTAAATTCTCTAAACGCATGAAATATACTTACATTCTGGAAATCATTAACTTCAATTGCTTCTTCAGCTCCACTTCCCATTTTAAAGGTCTCCAAGTTGTTCCCAGCATCTATTTCCATTGACCCATCTTGCAGTTTCCCATTGATACTCATGGTATAATGGACATTGTAAATCTGGAAGTGAATAAAAGAATTAGTGATGCTTTCCTTTCAGAGTAATTCAGGACTTATATTTAGACCTGCAGCATATGAGGTGGCTTTGGCATTTGTCAGAGATGCTCTGAATTATCCTTAAGAGCAATGCATGTATATATGAGAACTTCAGCCATACAGCAAGCACTTAATACAATGACTTCTTTAAAAATATCTCGAAAGTAAAACTCTGATACTCTCTGATACTAATTCAGATAGCCCAGTGATGGTAATTATAGGAAGCGTCTGGATAGAATCTCTGGCTCTCATGCCTGGGTCTCCCCCTGGACCAATCAAATGAGAACCTCTGGGAATGGACTTGGGCATAGATCTTTCTTGGACTATAGGTCAATTCTGTGTAGTCAGCAAGAAGAGTCATTGGTGCATAAGTGGGAATTAAGGAGGCAGAGGGTTAACAGGGCTGTTGAACAAACATGCCTGCAGTGATACCTCATTCTGAAAGGGTTTTAATTCCTTGGGAAAGATTTGGCATGCCTCCTGGCATATAGTGAGGACTGAGGACAGCAGTAGAATCTGCTTGCTGAAAAGCAGCCGTTGTAGAGAGCAAGGTCAATGTGCACATCTGTTTTGGCTCAAAATGGGAGTTACTCACTTTAATGACTCTGTGGGACAGGCATATGGTGGTGTAGGGCATTTTGTGATGAGCTTTATCAGGGGAGAAGGGAGGGAGAATTGGCAGTGCAAAGAGCCCTGGTCCAGAAATCAGAAAAACAGGTGGTCACAACACTTACTGCTGTGCCTTGGGAGTTGCTTCCAGGGAAAAGGAAGAAGTGGGGCCTTCTAGGTGGTTTTCATTTATGTTGTTAGCATCCTGAGGCTTCACAAAGGCTGCTGACACGTGAGGGCAGCAGAACAGGTGGGACTGTGGGGCGCCTTTCTCTCCTGTCCACATATAAGTTAACTAGAGTGGTTTTGCTTCTGTTCTGTTTGGTGTGTTGGATGGCTGAGTACAATTTCTTAAGAAAATCTGCTGTTACATATTTTGAAAGTTTACCATTAAGTCAGATGATCCAAAGGACTCTTAATTTAGACAATTAGTACACAAGTTTAAGAAGTAATTCACATGTTCCTCCTGTGCAGTGTGTGCTGCCCTGCTAGAACTTCCCTTGTGCTGTGGGGTAGTAGGTGGGTTTCTTTTCTTTCTTTTTCTAACCAGAGGCAGGTGTTTATAAGTCCATGCATTTACATTATGTATGTGTATAAATGTAAAAATATATATACATATATTATCAATAAAATCTGTAAAGGGAAAGGAGTCAGAACTGAGGAAAGGCACTAAAGTATAGTGTCAGGTTCACAGGTTTGTAGGTTAGAACTGCAAATAGACTCAATTCAAATCTGATTTCTCCTTCATTGTGAAAAATTACTATGTGGACAGACACTGGAGAAAATATCCATTGTTACTAGAGCCCTACTTGAGAAAACGCATGATTACAAGACCCACAGAGCACTTGTATTTTTATCAGCACAGATGTAGAAATGGCTTTGCTGGTCTGTCCCATTTTTTTTTTTTTAAAGATTTATTTATTCATACAGAACTGGGGTATAGGCCAGAAATGTGGAGGGTGAGAGGATTCACCAGAGACAGAGTGGGGAGCAGAACAGGCAGGTCTACGAAGCACACTGCTGAGGGGAGCAGCGGGCGGGTCAGGAGAGGTCTGCCAGGCCATGTGGTCACCTCCGGGGCAGGCGGGGATCGAACTCATGCGGAAGTGGCTTAAGCTTCTTTGTGCTGTGCTTTAACCCGCTGCGCCACCAGGGAGGGCCTGGTCTGTCCCATTTTATGCCACAGAGTAGAAAACATCGACACACAATTTCAGTTCAACTGCCACTCAGTCCCCTTTTCCCCCTTAGTCAGATGCACTCCCCTGCCTGCAGCACTGTCTCCAGGCTTGCCTGAGCACAACCACTTGTAGAGGTTCTAATTTAGTAGACTTGGAGCAGAGCCCACCAATCTGTTTCTGCTTTGCACTTCAGGTGGTCCTTATGAGCAGCCCAGTTGGGAAAACTGTTTTCTTTGGCTGAGGCCACACTTTTCTGCAGGTTTAGAAAAGAAGCCCTGTTCTGTCTCTGTGCTCACTGAGCTGCCACTATTCACATGGGTTCATGAAGGCTGCCAGGGTGAGCATGGCAGCAATGCTCGAGAGAGTTCCTGCTGGCACATGCATCCTTCACTCATGCAAGAAGCTCTTTTTTTAAATTTTGAAAGCATCATATCAAAGCTTTTATTAGAAAGCAATGCAAAATTTAAGAAATTAACCATTTCCAAATAGTTAGCAGGTCTGAAAGAGGTACGTACTACTGTAACATTAGTAGAGCGGCTGATGCTCCCAATTTCTCTCTCCTCCAGCACCATTCACCACCCTCCTCCCAACAAAAGCTCCCTGACTAGGGATGGGTTTGCTTCCCGTTGTAATGGCCTCCAGTTGAGCTTGTGTCAGCAGTATACCCTCTGTATGGGGCTGCAGTGAGAGGCCTGTATCCATCTGAAGATCTGAAGAGACTTGCGGGGAGGGGGTAAATAGACTGATATTTCTAGTACTGGGCCTTGATCTCAGAAGGAGGCTGGGCTGGTGGAGTAGTAAACACATTATCTGCTCTGAGTGGAAGGAGCTGTTGGCACCTCGGGCTATATTTGTATCCAAGTACAATGAGGTTTATTATTTGCCTAAATTCTGCTCAATATGGTGCCTTTTACAGCCAAGGATGTTCGTTAATGAGTTTCTAATAAAGCTTGGGTTTTCTGTAAGATTAATTATGTGTTTGGGACAATGTCTAGAAAAATCAGTCTGAGAATAAAGGCCTCAAGCAATGACCTCATGCCCTCATCCCACAGGATAGGGTTGTCAGTGATCTCACACTCAGTATTTCCCATATTTCAATGCCTTGTTCTATTTACAATAATGCAGTTGAAACACAGCCTCTATATTTGAGCCCAGTCACTTGTACCCCAATTATTTGCACTCAGATGCCATATAGTCCTTCAACTGACTCTGAGTAAACCTGTCTTCAGGGGATTTACCCACTTGAAAGGGAGAGGAGGTAAATTATGGCTGATTCTCTGCAAACCAATAAAGAGGAAGCAGAGACATACAGTCCCCAGTTAATACACTAGTTAAAGATGTCTCTCTGTTTGACAGGGATTTACTTACCTTTTGTGACTGTGTTTTGTTTGAGCTCTTCAGATTGATTTTTATGGGAATTAGACCTGTGCATGTGTTATGCATACACAATGCCAAATTTATTTAATATTTTGTGATTTGCTTTTCAGCATAAGTAATATGGATCAGCATGGAATATTTTGGAAGAAAAAAAAACATGAGTTTTTTCTCTTCCATTCTTCTCTCTGTGTAGGAAATAGCAATTACTTTGATTGTTTGCTATAAAATGTGATTCACTATTCCTCTGTATTCTTAGAATTTAATACTGCTCTTCTGAACTAGACAACCAAGTATCTTGTGGTAAAGTAAAAGATATGAGAAAAGAGAGCCATTCTTATTCAGTATGATCATTCGCTCTCTCTTTTTAGATGCTTGTCAGTTAGCTGTGTTTGCCTTAAATAATTAAATGCCAGATGATATTCATTTTAATATACATCATGAACAAAATCATAACCCCCGCAATAAAGCTATTTTTATCCCCAAGTAACCTAAACCATTGAGGTTTTGTCATCTAAAATACAGCATTCACCATACACTTTTCCAAGGATGACAACCTAAACCCTATTAATGGAGATGTAGATATTGAAATTGTTCTCATGTTCAGATTTGCTGATTTCAAGTATGAGCATCTGGCCTGGCTTCTATACTTAAAATACAAATACATTAAGGCACTTTTCAAATATATACAAAATACTGTGTAATTCTGATCTTACAAATCAAAGCTTGTAAATTTGATATAGTCTCTAAAACAGACTCACTGCTAAATGGCATGCTTATCTACATTAGGCATTTGAGTTAAAAATACAAATTATGCAGTGACTGCAGAAGATATGATGTGTAAAATGGTTGAATTGCTTTCAGCACCATTTTCTCTAAGTACTGGAATTTGTTCATGCTTTGAATTTCATGGTGAGAGAAGGGGGGCGACATGGAAACAGTAGTCACAGATACTCTGAGGGTAGTGATTAAGAAACAACCCTTTGTGTGCGCACTGGAGATGGAATCCTTTTCCATTAGTTGAAATAAGCTTATACCAGGCCTGGCAATGGTCATTAAGATAAAATGCCCTCCTTTACATAGGTGAAGAAAATTCATAGTATTCAGAGTACACACTGGAAATCTGCCCAGTCAAGTTAGAAGCACTTTTTATATTCCTTCAGAGCCAGCGAGCTTTAAAATAAATAGTTACATACAAAGAAAGTAGGACAGCAGTTAGTGAAACATTTACCATTAAATTACACGCTACTAAGCCAGAGTTGATTTTTAAAGAGATTTGTCACCTTTCAGGAAGTTAGAACTACCTTCCCGGCTCTTAGAACAGGAAAGTGAACTTTTAATTTTAAAATGTAATGAGGTAACATGGGTGTATATCCTTGTGTTTTCGAAGTATAGGTGGTCCCCCTTCAGATGTGTTACCACAAAGCAACCACCACCAAAACACTCATAGTCCATTTTCCTCCTTCCCCCTCCCCTCTGGTAGACTCAGTTCTACAGTCAGTTTCTATGTTTATTGCTAGTTTGACTTAGACCCTTTGTTTGGCTTCTCTATAAGTGAAATCATCCAGCATTTATCTTTCTCCCTCTGACTTCTTTTGCTTAGCATAATCCCCTCCAGCTCCATCTACATTGGTACAATGGCAAACATTCATCCTCTTCCATAGTTGTGTAGTAGTGCATATATCACCTCTTCCTGTGCCACTCTGTCTTTGGGAATTTAGGTTGTTTCCATAGCTTGGGGAACTTTAATGCATAGATCACTCTAAAACCAAACGAAAACAGGGGGAAAAGGCTAAATTCTCCCCCCAATTACTAGATCTAAATATTCTACTATCTCTGTCCTTCGCTCTGAAATTCCTAGCAGAGAGAGGCCTTAGAAATCAGCAAGGATCAGTAAATCGCGGCCAGTTTACCCCCACACGCAAGAGCAGAGTGGAAACGTCAGGCTTCTATACGCCAAAAAGGGCTTTCCTCCAACTGTGCACTCTGCTTTCCTTGACTCGCGAGTCCACAAAGCTGGCTGTGAGCAGAGGGCTGAGAGCGGGAGTCCAGAAGGGAGAGGCTGACCGGCAAAGGCCAGTTGGTGACTCCTAGAGGAAAGTGCGCCCTGGCGCATCCGGGCTCTGGCTCCACCTAGTGGGCCACAGACGGGAGACTGAGAGGACCCCTGCCACCCCCCAGCGCCTCCCATCCCGCAGAATGACTGGGGTCCTAACCTGCGCATCGCCTTCCTGACTTACGTGATTGTCGCTCCCCTTCCAGAAGTAGAAGGCCCCGATGGCCCCAAAGAGCAGAAGCACCGCCCCTGATATGAGGACCACTGCTCCGATCTTGAGGAGGCGCGTGGGGCTGGAGGGCTTCACTGCCACCGTTGTGTATGCCTGCGGGGGGTGGGGGGGGTGGATTCACATCTGAAGACTCACCCACCCACCCCCGCTCAGCATCCCCAGGGAATCAGGTGAGGGTGGGGGGGGGGTGGTTAGGAGCTAGTTCAGGGTCACCTTTCGCACTGCTCCCTCCTGAGGTCCCTGTGCTCCCATGGGGATCGGCCTTCTTTGGGCAGCGCTTCCCAGCCCAGGGCCCACGCTCTCTGCCCACCTCAGGGCCACCCCTCCCGACGCTCATTCCATTCTCCCCTTTACACCCATCCTTGCATTCAGTTCCCTTGCACACACTTAGGGTGCCACCTCACGCATACATCTGGAAACCCACATTGGGTGTCATAATTCCTGGCCACAGAGTGTGGATCTAGACACCCGCACTAGACGTGTGGAGCAACTCCCCAGCAGGGCTAGGCATCCTGAGCGGTACTCACTGGGGGACTGCAAAACTCGACGTCGTCAGGTCCCACTAGGGTGATGGGAACTTTGTCGGAGTTCTCGGTCATGTCTGCAGCGGCGGCGGCGGGAGGAGCTGGGCACTGGGAGGCTCGGTGCGCACACAGGGTTCTGTCCTGCGGCCCCGATGTGCAGGGCATTTCAACGCCCCCCACACGCAGGCGCGCACACGTAGAGCCCGGGCCTCCTGGGCCAGCCCAGCGGTCCCCACCCCTTCCAGCGCCTCACCTCTCTCCCTTCCCTACTCCTGTAAAGACTCCCAGTGTGAGCTGCTCCAGCAACTCGGATCACCACCACCACCATCCACTTTTCCTTTTCTCCTGTCTACTGCCTCCACTGCCCCCACCCGGGGGAAAAGTCCATTTTAGTAAACCTGAGTGTGTTATGTGGGGGACAGGGGATTGATGGATGGGTAAACCGGGGTGCTGGATTCTGTGACCCCAAGAAACCTAAATTACCAGCACCCTTCCCAGCTTTCAAGGGTCTCAGCATGTCAGAGGGTTCTGCTCTGACAGGGGATGCCTGTGTCAGACAAGATGCACTGTCTCTGTAAGTGTGGTATTTGTGTTTGGGGAGAGGGGGAGAGGGCTGGCCCTGAGGCAGAGTTCAAAGTCCTTTTTTCCCAAAGACACCATTAATAGAACTTCAGAAGAAATATGAGAAGTCACATAATCAGAAGTGGGATATCATCCAAGATAAAGTAGGGATGTAAGAAAAAAAAGTTCTGGAAGGATGGTTCTGTAGTGTAAAATGCTGAAAAATGAAGGATTACACAGAAAGGCCTTTGGAATTCATGGCTAGAAGGGATTAATGAGATGTCAGTTCCATTTACTTTATTGGGCACAGAATTATTGCAAAGGGTTACAGACTAAAAATATTTGCAGCTCATATTACAGACAAGGACCTAGTTTTCTTGTATAGAGAGTTCCTAAGACTCCTTAAAAGACCAACCATATAATAGAAAAATGGGCAAAGAATAGGAACAGACAGTTCACAGGAGAAATCCAAATGGCTCTTAAACACAAGAAAAATGCTTGACTGCACTTGTAAAAAGAAATGCAAATTAAAAGTATTCTTTTTTCACCTATCAGACTGGCAAAAATAAAAACACTTTTTAAAACTATCTGTTAGAAAGCATGAGGTGCTTTTTTTACATGGTGCATAGCACCATATAGTGCTATGGGTGGGCAAAGTGGTACTACTTTTATGGAGAGCAATTTAATTCCAGAATGCAAAGGGCACTTTCATTTCTGTGGATTTATCTCACAAATGTGCTCACAAGGGTGGAAGAATTCTATATGTGCAGAGATATTCATTGCAGCATGATTGTCAGAACAAAGAACTGGAAACATTATCAGTGTCCACAGCAGAGAATCTGTGGTACATCCTCAGAGAGGGATCTCAGCAGTCATTAAAAGAATGAAGCAGCTTTCGATATACTGATGCAGAATATTTGCTAAGGTATTTAAGTGGAAAAAAAAAACAACCTCAAATGGTAGGAAATGTGCATAAACACCTCCCATTTATATTAAAAATACATACAAGAATATATGTGACAAAGTGCTCTCTGGAAAGATACACAGATGTTGGGGTTGCCCCTGGGGAGACCAAGAGGGTTGGGGATACCAATGGAAGGAAGAGACTGTGCAACATTTTGAGATCTGTACTATGAATATATATTAACTATTCAAAAATCTATTTAGTGCTCAGTTTAAACTATTCAAAAAAATGAGTGGATAAAATAATAAAGAACAGTGAGGAGGGAGTGAATGCTGCACTCTGTTTTCAAGAATGATAGTTCAAGGAAGTCGTGGATCAAGAAAGCCCCCCAGGCCCCAAGTTGGAAAGATATTTGAAGGCTAAGAGGGAAAGAGGCAGGGATAACAGATGGAAAAAGAGGGGATGAATCCAAAGCAAGAGTAACTTTGAAAAGGAGAGAGGAAATGGAAGGACTGATGCTTTGGGACTGCTTGGCTCCAGAGGAGAGGAACTCTGAGGAGAGGATGAGGGGAGAGAGAGGATCCACTTGTGTGCAGTGGTCTGCCTCATATATAAAAGGAGACACTGTGTACCAAGCAGAGCACAGAAAACAGGGATGGACAAGAAAACTAGTACAGTCTATGAATACATTTTCCTAAAGTGGCATATTTGCAATAATTTTAAGGTAATATGATTATATGATGACAGGAGAGATAAAAAAAAATCACAGCAGGTAGGAAGCAGGTCTGGGAGGCCTAAGGAGAAGGGGATCAAAAGGGGAGACCCATTTCATAGACTTGTTCCCCATTGCCTGTCTTCCTGCTGGGCCCAGTCCAGAGGCTTTTTCCCTGGAGGGAACTCTCCCCTCGTGGCAGGCACTGCGCCAGGTCTACGGACACAGCAATGAGCAAATGAGATATGGTTTTTGCTCTTGAGTCACTGAGTAGAAAATGGTCATTAAGCAGGTAATCACAGAATAATGGTGTCATTGCCTTTGTGATAAACAATATCAGAGAAGAAGAGTACAGGGCAACTCAAGATATATTTAAGTGACATTTAAGCTGAGCATTGAACAGAAAAAGAAGAATTGGGACTTTCCAGGTAGAGATGGGGTATAAAGATGTGGGAAATGTGGAGAAACGACACTTTAGAAGGCCATGAGGTTATAAAGAGCCTGGCATTCAAAAGAAGGTTGGATTGAATAAAAGTATGGCAAGAGATGAGGTTGCAGACAGATGCAGTTTTATTTGAAAATAGGACTTCTAGGCCATGTTAAGGATTTTGAAATTTTCTGTCTTAAAAAAATGTCCCCCTTGAAAACTGGGAAGCTACATGCAAAAAAATGAAACTAGATCACTGCCTCACTCCAGTCACAAAAATCAACTCGAAGTGGATTAAAGACCTAGACATAAAAATGGAAACCATAAAATACCTAGAAGCAAAGATGGGTCAAACACTACACGACATACACTTCAGCGACATCTTTAAAGACAGAGCACCCAACGCCACAATAGTGAAGGCAAAGATAAATAGATGGGACTACATCAAGTTAAAGAGCTTCTGTACAGCAAAAGAGACATTACTAAAAACAAACAGAAATATCACTAATTGGGAAAACATTTTCTCACACAAAAGTAGCCATAAAGGATTGATCACAAAAATATACAGAGAACTGATGAAACTCAACAAAAACAACTCCATCAAAAAATGGGCAGTAGAGCTAAAAAGACACTTCTCCAAAGAGAAAATGCAGATGGCCAACAGGCATATGAAAAAATGTTCAACATCACTCGTAATAAGGGAGATGCAAATTAAAACCACAATGAGATACCACCTCACCCTAGTGAGAATGGCACAACTCCAAACAACTAGCAACAAATGTTGGCGAGGATGTGGAGAAAAAGGAACTTCCTGCATTGCTGGTGGGAATGCAAACTAGTACAACCACTATGGAAAACTGTTTGGAGGTTCCTCAAACTGCTAAACATGGAGCTTCCCTACGACCCAGCAATCCCACTCCTAGGTATCTACCCAGAAGACACAAAAACACTGATTGAAAAAGATACTTGTACCCCCATGTTTATTGCTGCTTTATTTACAATTGGAAAAACATGGAAGCAGTCCAAATGCCCAAAAGCCCAAAAGTAGATGACTGGATTAGAAAGATGTGGTACATATATACAATGGAATATTACTCAGCAACCAAAAAAGAGAAACACATGTCTTTTGCAGCAACTTGGATGGAGCTGGAAAAGATGCTTAGTGAGATAAGCCAGAAAGAGAAAGAAAAATACCGGATGGTTTCACTCATAGCAGGAGTATAATGGACCCGGCGAGAAAATAACAAAAATAATGAACAACCATATACCAGAGACATTCTGTGGGGGTGGAGTGGGGAATGGGATCAAAACTGGGGGGGGGGAAGGGAGGGAAATGCCCGGGACTATGGTGGTGGCACAGGGGTGATCTGGTGATGGGAAACCCGCGGGGATTACAATCGAGATGGAAAAAAAAAATGTGCAAAATGATGTAAAAATAAACTTTGTAATAAAAAAAAATACCCCCCCCAAAAATGTCCCCCTTAATATCGAGCAGTCATTTAGGAATTTGAAACAATGGAAGGGCGTGGTCAGACCTGCATTTTAGAAACATTATTTTAGCCACTGTGGAGTACATGATTAAATTGGAGGGGGCAGGGCAAGAGTGAAAAGGGTTGATATTTTTTGGAAGTTCCTGCAAAATATGACACTGGTCATAAAACTGGGGACCCACATTCTAGCCCCTGGGGCAAGGCTGGAATGTTCCCACTTCTGCCTATGCTTGGAAAAGCAATGGCTGTTTCCCAGCTGGAGGAGCAGCTCCTCCCCAGGGTGCCAGCTGGGTGTTTCCAGAGGCTCTTGAGCTCTGCCTCAGGGCAGCAGCACCTGGCCAGCTGGGCAGCGGAAGGCTGTGCAGGGCTTCTCCGCAGCCCCGCGCAGTTGGACTTGTCTAGCCTGGCACTAACCTTTGACTATTCAGCGCCTGGATCATCAAATGGGCGGACTACTGAGGTCAAGCTAAATGAACCAATCGTGTTCATCAGCTATTTAATTATACAGAGCCTGAAGGGGCGATTGGTTTTTAAATGGGTCCAACTGGTCACTTAGAATTGAATATGGTCCCATCCGGCCGTATCAACTAGGGTGGGAGACCGGAAAGAGGTTCTAAGGCAGAGGTTGGGACTCCCTGACTGCCATTTTGGGTGGCCGCTGAATAAAAAAGAAAGACAAAAGCCGCAGAATCCAGCAGCCTGACCTCCACTGAGAGAGGCCTTAGAGCCTCGCAGTGACCTGGTTGCACCTGTGTCTGATGCTGCCTCTGCCGCCGCCTGAGAGCACCGCAGGCCCCGGCCTGGTGTCTCCGAGAGCTGTTGTCCGCGTGGGCTAATGACTCACCAAGCGCTGGACACTGGTGTTTCCTGCGCTGCCTCTGGCGGCCGCGTGGCCAGCTCACCGGCCAGTGCTAACAGGTGTCATCCGCCCCCCTTGCTGTCCCATCCAGTGTTCGGAGCTGTCTGTCCAGACCGGAAGCC